ATGAGATGCTTAAAGATGTAGATTGGTGCTTATTCAGGAGTCTTAAAAATGTCTCGCCAGATGCCTCTGTGAATGGTGAGGCATCTAAATACATCTGAATATCAGTCCCTTAGTCTTTCAGACTTGCAGTGGGTCCTTATTCTGACGGGTGCTTCAGTCAGTAAATCCTCCCTCATGCTGACATTAAACAATGCTGCTTAGTCTTTAGAAACTGTACTAGTAAAGGAATTGCAGAAATTGCACACTTCGGCACCCACCTCCTGCCTACTAATCTCCATGCTTAACCTTGCTCATCTAAATAGTCCAGTGGAGCTGAGGGATGTGTTCTGCAGCATCTTCGCTTGGTGATGGTATGGAGTTCCTTTGTTTTTAATCGATTAGCATGGAACCTTTTCAAAATTAGGATTCCTTCAGGTTCTGTCTTTCTAGTTAAAAACACTGACACTGGAGTCCTCAGGTCATTTTGATTCAACCAGAGTTCACATTCGTCCTGTGTACTTTCAATTTTGACCATGACCTTAGGAAATTAGCTGTCCCCTGGTTCTGTCCAAGTCATCTGGAAGGTGATGAGCTCTTGTCCTCCTATTGACAGAGTGCCTTGCTTTGATTCCACTCCACTGAATTTTTACTCCATTACTTTGAACGTAACATATTCACCAAGGAGATGGATCAAACTGTACGGCTTTGGCTTTGTATTTGACTATGCATCAAAGCTGGAATAGGTTTTGAGCAGGTTAAGACGAGAATCTTGAGAAATGGATCACCAATGTGAGATTTTTAAACCAAGCTGACACTGAGTCGTAGAAGAACAGTTCTTTTATTATATGCTCCTTGATTTCAAGAGAAAAATTTAGAAGTTGTTCATATGGCAGCTTAGCTTTGGTCCCTTCTTGGGAAAAACATCTTGTGTCACTTCTAATAATCTTAAGTCATTTTCTGTCCCTCCTAACATGAAATATCACAGATATTTTGCTAAAAAAAAAAAAAAAAAAAAAAAGATACTTACACTGGTAAGAACCACCTATTCTAAACTAAAAAATACATTTCCTTTGCAGGATTGTTAGGAGAGTCATTCTGCTTTGTTCTGCAACGCAGAGATGGACGCGCTTTTTTGCCATGACATTTCTTAAGTCAGAACGTGGTCTCTTGCATGTCATGGAAGCGTTTGCGGGGTACTGTATTTGCTATAACAAATCATTATGCATAACAGCTTCTTCAGCACTCTTGGTTATTTGGGGTTGTATTCAGACCGGAATCACAGATTGTGATACTAGAACTGAAGCTTCAGTTCAGTTCCCAGAGAACCTAATCACGTTGCATAAAGCCAACCTTGCTTTGCTTTTTTCTTTCATGATTTTGAATGACAGACTTCACTAATGGGCTTCTGTAAGGCCTGCTCCTCTGTGCTGAGGAGAGACAATTATCTCAGCCATCCTCGGTGTACCATCACCTCAGCTCATTTAGGTGCGCTCAAAAAGACAAATAATAATCATTCTTGCAGAAAGCTCTTGCAGGTTGATTTTCATGACATGACGCTTAATGATCAGACCAAACCGTGATTATTTATGTCAACTCGCATTTGACTACAGTGAAGAAATAAACACTTTTATCTTTTCTCCCTTGAAAATCCTCTTTTCTATTGGAGGCATTTTAGCAAAGTGGATTCGTATTTGTCCGGTTGAAGTTCTATTGAAGTCGACTGCCTGTGAATGGATGTTTTTAAAGCAGAATTTGCTCAAAGATGTTCACTTCTGCTTTTAAAATAATTTTTTGAAAGTCCAAACATCCTGGTTTTCTTTTTTTTACTCTTTTTACATTCCTTTTGCAAACTCTGTTTCCAGCTTTGTTCCCTTGACGGCTGCTGCCAGTTCTGCTGGATACGCTGTGTAGGGTGGCACAGCCATCGGAGGGGCTGGGACAGCTGAGGCGGGACCCGTCTGGGTTACATTTACAATGACATGGTTACCTTATTATGATTACCTTTACTGTAGTTTACTATTTTACCTTTAGTCTGAAAGGTAAAATAGAGCATGAAATTTGTCATGGAAAAGATTCTCAAGAACTATGTTCTTTTTGCGGCCAAATGCTATAAATAATTCATCTTTTCCTCAGTCCTATAGGTTGGAAAAATAGTAGCAATTTCTACTGTTGTTTCTTTCCAGGAGCATTTTGCAATCCTACAGACAATAAATAATTTCTTGGCCAGTTTGGTTGTGAATTATTTTCTGTGTCCTGGAGATATTTTGCTCAGAAGGGCAAGCCAACAAATTGCAATCAGGCAGTGATAGATCTGGTCCTCAGTGGTGCACATTCTTCTTGCCTCTGTCAGAGGCATCTCTGAGGTTTGGTTGGTGCTTTCTCTGACCCTCCTTAGTAGTTTATCCAGGTTCTCACTTCCCGTCAATTTGTTGCATGAGAAGTGTTGGAGAATGAAATGTACTTAATTTTTTTGGCACATTGGTTTTAGCATCTCTTTCCACTGCAGTGTCTGCTGGAGGCACCTTTCACCAGTTCTTTAGTATGTCCTTCCTCCATCAGGTGTAGTCTGTGTGAGCCTGATGGGCCACCCATCATTTGCCATCGTGCATCACAACAAAGACATGAGTCTCTGGGTTTAACCAGCTAACCCAGTCTTTCATGGTGGTCATCCTTGTACAGATCCTCTGCTGAGGTAAACTAATGCAATGCTCCATTTTCTCCAGTTGAGGCTTGGCCTCAAATTTTGATGGAAGCAGAAAACAATTACATCCATTATTTCTTTTGGATTTATCTCTGGTCAGAAAAGGTGTGTCCTCCTTAGTAGTGTATAAAATTGCATGGTATACCTTTGACTATCTCACGAGCTGTCTGGAGAATCTCACTTCTATCCCTTCCGAAACAACCTGTGCTATGCAGTCGCTGCCCGGTGTGTAATCCAGCCTTGCTTGTTAGATGCAAACACTTCTTTAGACGTTGTCGTGCTTGTAGGCTTTCCTTACAGTGCCAAAAATGAAAAACACACCATGCTCAGCCTGTGTCAGAGCAGGATCTTGTTAAAACCCAAAAGCATTTGCTGGTGGCATTGGGAAAGCTGTAGGTTTGTTTAGATCTCTGGAGCTTTTAGAAGGGAGCTGACAGAAGCTTTATAATGAGCCCCCAAGCCCTTTTGTCCCCTTGCATAATTCGAAGATTGCACAAAACAGATTGAAAGAAGTTTCCATAGACCAGCTGAAATTTATTTAAATGTAATCAGAACATTTGAATCTGTCCTAGCACTGTCCCTGTGCTTGGGCAGCCATCAGTGTGAATAGATCCCGTCACGATTGGAGCAGGGTCCGGCTAATGAGTGGTTCCCCCGCTCGAATGGGAATCAGCGAGGAATGCTAGTGCTGGAGCGGGGTGGTGACACAGCCCTCGTTACTCAGCTGCTTCTCAGTTATGACATCTTCATTATCAACCATATGGATCATCGTTATGAACGTCTGAAGCTACCAAATGAGCGAGAGGTCTGGTACTGGTGCGTTGGGCTGGAGCGTACCTCTGTGTGCGGAGTGTGATGCTGTATGTCACCTCGGGCCAGCAGATGCTGGGCAACTGGTTCCAGAAGCAGGAATTGCTGTCTCCAGCTGGTACCACATACTTGGTGGCTGGGGGCTCTGAATTACACATGTGTAGAGTTCCCTGGGAAAGGGTTTTCCCTGGTGTTTCCCATTGAAATGCACTGCTTTCTCTTGCCTTCTCCTTTATATGTTGGAACTGAAGGGATTTTTCTTCTTTCTTTTCATTTGGCGTAGTTACTGAATTCAAACAGCTTCTTCCTTAGATATAAAGCACCTTACTTTCCAGGTGAACTACCCTGCACAGAGGCATTTGGCTCAAATGTGCACGTGGTGAGTTAGCGTGGAGTAGGCAGTGGGCTTGGAGCATGCAGCTTAGCTTTCCATGCCCCATTTTCTGCTGGGTAAGGGTGAGAGAAGGAGCACAAAGGGAGGGAAGGATGGGCTGGAGGAAGCAGAGCAGATTAGTAACATTTAAATCCTGGAACTTGGGGCTTTGCAGGTTGAAATACCTGTAAAACAATTAATGAAAAGATCTCAAAGGTAGCTGTTTGCAGCAGCAAACTAGTGTATGTGCTTTGTTTTGGGGGGTCTTGTGCACAAATGCTGATGCTTAGTTTCTAAAGACATGAGAATCCCAGGTGCTCTGGGAGCTCTGCATCCTTATTGTGGGGCCTGGGGCCCACTGATAGAGTGGATAAGTGCACTGTTGTGAAGCACTCAAGAACAGACCTCCAGCAAGAGTGAGAGGCCTGGCTGGGAGTAGCTGTGGCTACTGAGCTGATGTTTAGCCAAGTAACACCAGAGGATCTTTGCTGTAATGCCACTGTGCATCCAAAGCCAGACCAAATCCATAGCCAAGAAATTTGACAGAAAGACTAATTCTGTGAGCAGTTGAAGCAGTTTGCCTCCAATGAAACCTCCTAGTGTCCAGCACATCCCAGACTCACTCTGAATTGCTTCAGAGTAATAAAAGGTGCTAACTTGGCAATATCATGGTGTGAGTGGGAACTGAAATGACGAATGCTGTGCTTCACCTACGTGCCCCTGTGTAGTGTGTATCAAGTTTGTGATATTGTCCATCATATGTTGCACAGAGTGACTCGTCCATTTCAAAGGGAAGCATCCAGATGTAACTAGAGAAATTTAATTATGGATTCTGTGTGTTGGTTCAAAAATGTTTTTTTTTCTCTTAAGGGAAAAAAGATGTTGAGCAAATACCACTATATTTAGAACAGAACTAACTTACTAAAATTATAGCTGTACCAACAGATAAATAAACATAAACTAGTAGCATGAACCATTAATGAAAGATAAATCGCATGAAGGGAAATGACAAATGTTTACAGTTTTGGCAGGATTTAAACCAGGGCATGTCTCCTTACATCCAGCAACTGTTTTAACAGCTGCTTTTTTTTTTTCCCCCTTCCTCCCCTCCCCTAAATTATTTCAGGTTTTTGAGTCATGATGCAAGAATCTGGGACTGAGACAAAAAGTAACGGTTCAGCCATTCAGAATGGAGCGAGCGGTGGCAACCATTTACTAGAGTGCAGCCTGCGGGAAGTGAGATCAAACGGCGAGACACCTTCAGTTGAAATTGGGGCTGCAGATTTAGCACATCTTCAGCAACAGCAGGTACTGTAAGACATATTACAAGTTTCCTACTTGCAGAAAAAGCGTGAAGCATTTAATCTCCCCTCCCAGACCCTTTGTATTTGCCAGTCAGAGGATGCTTTCAGGACTTGCCTATGACATTCTGTACATTTTTGTCCGTAGGGGATTGCAATTGTTAATGTAAAGGGAAACATTGGACTTTTCTTCCGGGACTCCTTTTTAATAATTCCCTGGAAATACCCAAAGATCAGGGCTGGCTTCCATTGCCTGAACGCGTTGTGTCTGGTGGCAGTGATGGGGTGAACCGCTGTATACAAATAACTGGTTTCCAAAAGATGTCGCTGGGTGGAACGTAGACTAACATTAAGTTTTGTTTTTGCAACAAATTTTAATATAACCTAGCAACCTCTCTTAACAGAATGTTTTCTGTTAGTAAGAAAGGCTGCAGAGGGAGGTATCTGCTGCAGAAAACATCAGGGTAAATAAATAAATACATCCCGTGTCACCGCTCCTCAATTCAGAAGAATCGGAACCCAATTGTGCCTTTTGCCTTTGTATTTTAATTAGTGTATTTCCTTCGAAGTGACCAACTTCACCAGTGTAAATTATCCACCTAATACATTTTGTCTTTTTCTTCTCCCTGATAAAATTTGGAAACCCTCCGAGGAAATTTTACACCAAAGTGCGGGGCATGTATCATGAACGTGTTTGGGAACAAAGGCTGCAGCAGAGCCATGGTGAATACACTTACGCCTAACCCTCACTTTCTGTAATGCAATAAGCATTCTTAAAACCTTTTAAATAAGCGATTGGCAGCTGGTTAAGACTCCCCTAAGCATACAGTGATCTTTTTAGCAGGTTGTTGCGGGGAAGGAAAACCTGCATTCATAAACAAAGCAAAACCAAGGCTTGCGGAGGAGCAGGGGACCCCGTTTGCCAACCTAAGACAGAAAGCTGCCATAATTAAGCAAGTCAGAAAAATGGATGATACTAAATGCATAGACTTTGGTTGCTTCAGTCATTTTCATCCTACAGGTTTTTACTTGAAGTGAGAATACCATCAGTGAGAAAATCACAGCCATGCTGAATTCATTACTGCAGTAGTCACACAAAACCACGGATAAAATTTCAATAACTGCAGGCCACAGTTGAGTAAACAGTTGCACTGAAACTTAATTCCTGTTGACTTTTCCCTCATTCTTTGCCAGGGGCACATTCTGATTCGTAGTGCAAAGACAACAGGGGTTACAGCTTTGATTAATATAGGACAGTAGAAGAGGAGTGGAACACTAAAATATGTTCAACACAAAGGTCTTGTCTTAAAAAGGCTTCGTATCAAAATGAGTTAATTACGCTGCGTTTTCCATAGGAGCACTATGGAATTTTCCAATGCTGCTTTGTGCAGAAAGAAACAGAAGGGGGGGGGGTCACACAAACACGTGCACAGCATAGACCAGAATTGCTCAGACCTCTGCTCCTCCACTCCTGCCACCCCTTACTAACCTTCCCTGCTGGCACCCTGTGCCAAGGCTTCTCCATAGCCACCCGGAGAGCTCGCGCCGCCTTGGATAACATCCTAATCTCACATGTAATGGGTTGTGTCATTCAACAGTCGCCCATTGGGTCAATTAAGGAGTGGCACCCATTCATTCCTAGGCAAGTCCTCCCCCAGAGGGTGCCCGGCAGAGGCACAAGTGCTTCTGGCCCCTCGGGAGCAGGGTGCGGGGCTGGGCGGCAGTATTGCGGCATTGCTTTCACACAGCTCAGATTCTAGCTTCTAGTTTATTTATCCTCCGCCAGTACAATAAACGTGGTCGGGGAGCTTGCTTTTCTGCAAGTTCTTAAAAGACCTTTATGTTCTGTGTTTGAATTCTGCTGTTAATTGGTTTTGATGACTAACTTCTCCACTGAGTTTATCTTTTAAAAGGCAAGTTGGTCGCAAAGTTTGAAACAGTTATTTAAAACAACAGCAACAAAAAAAGACCTGGTAACAACAAAAGGGTAATCAGAGCTAGCATAAAAATACCAATCTTTGTGTTTGGAAAATATTTTAAATGCTGAAAAGAAGAAAACCCCGTTGTTTTCAGACAGCTAATGCAAGCGTTTACAGATACACATACAACATGGAGCATAATGTTTAGATGTTTCTCCGTATACAACATATGCTCTCAGGTCACTTAACAGAATGCATTCTACAAAACACTTCTTCAATACAAATGAATGAGTTCTGAATTAAACAGCTATTTCGTAAGAGCATTTCATTCAGATCTTTTCATTTTGCCACCTGGCACTTGTTTTGTCTGAAAAATAAAAAATCAGTGGTGGGTAGTTTGATCAGGCTTTGCTGTCGGGGTTAGTTGTGTATTCCCATGATGAGCGTGGCTGAGCGGTAAAACCTGGACGTACAATTGCATCTGTAAAGCATCTGTGCAGGTTTTGGTTTGCCTTTTTTTGTGACACTTATGAATTTATAAGGACTAATAGGTTTGTTAGTGTGAGTGAGCAAAACAGAAATGCTTCAGGTTTTTTAGGAAGTTTTAATGGGTTTACAAACTTGTAAATATTTTACCATGGGAAAATATGGAGCACCACAGATGTTCCTGTGTTTGAAGGAACAGGGTACGGTGTGAGCACTCTTGCAGTAAGTGCAGAGAGGACTTGTAGGACAAGTTTTATGCTTCCCATGTCATCTTAGGGTGATTCTGCCATGCAAGGAGACAGAGAGTGATTTGATGCTGAATTATTTTAGCATTAGCAACCTTGTAAAATGTACTGTTAAGCTGGGAGTAGCAAATGTGGGGATGACCTCTGCTATGCATAATAAAACCAAATGGCTCCAACTGATGTTTGTATTTGTAATCGTGATGTATGAAAGCCAAAGCAGTACAAGTGACTCTTCAGGGACAGTGCATCTGTGGAAGAGCTGGATAAAAATGGAGGTACATGTAGGAGAAATTGCTCCCAGAATTGGGCTGAGAGGGATGGAAAACCCTTTCCTACAGTGTTTTGGCACCTACTGAAGGTGAGAGGGGTTGCCTTTCCACTGCTGCTGACTCCATAGGTGCTGCAGGTCGGCGTCTCGTGGGAATGACTGTCAGGATGAGGTGGAATGGGCAGGGTTTTGATGATATGCTTATAAAACCTGAAGTAGGCATGAAGGTTACCTGGGTCACTGGCTTTCCTAAAGAGATAAGAAGTAGGCATTTACTGTGGGGCCAGGCAGTAGAGCTCAGGAGCTTGCTCCCAAGGTGTGCCCACAGAGGCAGAACCAAGCGAAAGGGCAGAAAAGCTAGGAATGGGGTACCAGGCAGAGTCTAGCATCATCTGTGGCTGTGAGGCATCACAGAAAACATCTGGGAGGTGCAGAATGGGTGTTGGAGTGACCCACAAGCTGAAAGTCAGGCTGGGCGAGGGAAGCTTGGACAGAAAGTACGTAATGATGGGGTGACTCCTGTCTACCAAGGACTAATAAATAAAGACTCATGGGGACAAACTGCCTATTAATGTACATGATCACAGCTTTAGTTGCTTCAGTGGTTTCTGATCTCTACTCAAATAGAAGGTTTGATGCTTCAGTCCTAGCCAGTTCCCTTCTTTTCTTTTTTTTTTTTCCCCCAGCTCATAAAATAAATATTATTTATTGTGTTTTATTTTTATCCTCAGGACTATTCATTAAAGTGTTCTTCACGTTATTAGCAGAGAAACAAGAATGTGAACTGAACAAAGAGAATGAACACAAAGTTGAATTCCGATATAGAGCAGCAAGACACCAAATGCTGTGTTGTGTGGTGGCAGAAATACAAACCTCTCCACATCAACAGCAAGATCCACTTTGATACCATAACTTCAAGTACTGCCCCACGAGTATAAAACTCCGAATCTTTTGTCTAATCCAGAATGCTTTTGAACTTTTAGGAGGTATGACTTTAATAGTAATTTGTTGACAGATTAGCTGCAGAGATTGCAGAGAGTTTATTTTGCAGAACTGGCAGGCTCATATCAGTGTTCTCCTAAGAAAAAAACACACATGGCTGTTTTGCAATTGCTTGCATTTATTGACAACCTGCGCTGAGCAGGCAGAATCGGAATGTTTGTGTAATGTAAACCTATAGCTTGTCTGATGGAGTGTAGTGTACTTTTAGGTAGTGCCTAGAGTGCTTGATAAAAAGGGTTACAAGGTGACTGTTTATGACGAACTCGAATAGCAGTACAAATGCGACTGGTACATGGAGAAACAAGGGGGAAGTTTATATAAAGAATTTTAGGGAAGTTTATTTTCTTCACTTTGCCTTTGAGCCGAACTGTACTGTAATTATGAAGTGTCACTTCAAGCTTTGTGAAGAATGCAGATAAATACTGGTTTCACCATGTGTCCACAAAGTGAGAAGGGGTTTTCCCTTGAAAAAAAATTGATAGCATAATATATATTTCATTACATCCTGGTTTGTACTTTTTACACTTTAGTTCCACTGAATGCATACAAATTAATAATACAGTTTTGCTCATGTGTAGGAGAGAAAAAGAATGTCTTGATAGACATAAGAAATTAGGATTAGGTTTTGGTGTCTGTGCCCGAGTGAGTGATTTCTTCACAATCAGTCTCACTGACTGCAGTCGGGGTGTTTGTGGTGTCCATGTGAAGTTGCCACAGTTGGGCCCTTTGGCAGTAGTTGTTTTGAGAATTGTTGAGATGTGAAGTGTTAGACTGAGGGAAGTGAACTCCAGGGGGAATAGGTGGTTTCTTCACATTTTGGTTATGTCCAAAGTCGAGGAAAATGTACAAGAAATGGGGGATTTGTTGTGTTGTTGGGAGGCTGCTTTAGTTGGGCAGATCAAAGAAGAGACTTGATTTGAAAGAATGCTGAATATATCCCAGTGTAAATTAAAGTAATGCTTTTGTTGTTTGGGGCTTTTTTGTTAACAGTTTGGTGGGGTTCATATTTCGAAAACCCATGAGGAGAGGTTGCAAACTGCATCAGGAGTTTTATGGTCGCATTGATCATGATGTGGACTTATCTCTTTAGAACAAAACTGCTAAATTAGAGCCAAGATAAAGTCTTTGTTTCATATTGACATAACTGGGTTAGACCAAATTTGTTTGTTAGACTTTGAGGGAGCGTCCGCGTTGAGTCATTTTGTCCGAAGAGACACAAAGCCTAATTATTAAACTGCTGTTGCTATTGAAAGAGCCATTTAAAAGTATAGATTAAACTCCATGGAAGCACATTGATAACTGATGATTACACCATGGTGCATTTGCAGAGCCGGTGCTGTTTTATCAGAGAAGGTGAAAAACAACTTTA